CGCCTGAAGAAGACTAGCAGTAAGCAGTCGAAACGTCGCGATCTACATCTAAAGTGACTACATCGTGTGAAAAACGATAATACACTTTATTATTGCATCTACCACGATGAATAGCAACCTTTTCCTCGACATTTATTTGTGCTGTTGAAAAATTTACTCAATAATTAGTTCTGCCCCCCAATGCTCCTCTCCCCGCTCCATGTAGAGCTTGAACCCAGGCTCCATGCAGGGCTTGAACCCAGGCTCAATGCAGGGCTTGAACCCAGGCAGGCTCTCCTCTTCCGCTTAGAGTGGGGGAGGGAGAGTCCAGGGACTGGACTAGGTTTTGAATGAAAGATCGAGGGAACGACGTTTGGTTTATCTATCTAAACTTTCGCACAAATTTGGGTATAACAACTGACTACAACACAAAAGGCCTAGAAACAGACAGACAGACAGATAGATAGATAAACTGACAGACAGACCAACAGACGGACAGACAGACAAACAGACAGTCCGACAGACAGACAGACAGCCTTTATTTAAGCACGACAAAAGATATAAAGCTCTGAAGTTTATGGGGTGGTGCAAAAAAACATAAAACTTGTATTAAACAAGGTGCTTCGGTTTTGCAGCGTTTATATTCGAGGAAAAATTCTGAAGAAAACGAACATAAAGTCGTTGATGCCGTTCTAAAACAGGCTAGGCGTTTGTGCACTGACAAAGTTCTTTAAATTCCGGAGACCAAGTAACTGCTAAAGGAAAATCTTAACCTGTTTTGCGCTCTTAGAGATTGTGGTAGAACCTGTAGGTTTTCTCGTACGTTCATCTTTCTTATTTGCGCGCATAAGGATCCATATCCTGGAGACAGAAATGAATATACGAGCAGTCAAAAAACCTGATCTGAGTTCTACAAAAAGCAAATAAAATCCTACATCGGTAAGCTTGTCAAGTTTCATTTGGAAGCCGGTGACAGACAAGAGCGGTGCAAATTCCGCCGATAAATAACGAGGATGAATTTTTATTTAACCCCGCATATACTACAAATCCATTTTCGATGGTTTAATTTACACGGCGGAACAGATGTGACAAACTCCTTAGAAATGACCGGCGGCCGCATAAAGTGAGCCAAAGGCGCGCGCGCCTTTTCCCCGCGGCCGACAAAGCGAGCCAATTACCGCTAATCATTACGTCATAATCGATTAGCGCCAACTACAGACACCGCGACTTCATAAGTAGCAACAACTGCCAAGCAAATAGATCAGTGTAAGTAGAAAGGCGAGAGTGATTACAGTGTAAAATAGAACAAGTTAAGTAACAGAAGCATGAGCTCAGGATCTAAAGGAACTAGAAGAACAAGACCCAAGGATAAAAGTAAGTTTAACTTAAAAGATTGTCTCAACTCTGAGAGTGGTTGAAGGATGTAGGTACTTATCATCATCAAAGCGAAAACACGGCCTCTGAATTTCAACTTGTTGTTACTTACTGTAGATAGACATAGGTGCCTTGGGTTAGCAACCTCATAGAAGTGGGAAACAATTTGCTTTGGATTTAATTTTCATCTCATTGCGCTATTCTCTACCATGTTGTAACGGGGTGCCTATTTTCTTCTCTTCTCAGCTCCGGAGTCCCGAAGTCGCCGTCGTTTGCAGTTTGCTGCCGCTCCGCTCCAAGGCAAGTCATTCTTCCTTCACGTACAGTCAGCAGCCAAAGCGCGGGAACTGGAGAAGAAACTTAAAGAACTAGGAGGGGTAAGTAGATATGTTTCATATAATTCTTGAGGTGTAAGTAGGTGTATTTGATTCGATGCAGCCACATTACTAAACAAGCCACGAGTAAAAGAGAAGAATAAAAGAACACAAGTGAAAATTGTTCTGCGTTTAGATGTGTATAGCAGTTGCGATGTCAGGTCTACAAACATACACGTCGCTAATATCTTTGCCCTTTGGATTTCCTCTCTTCTAGGTGGTGGAAAAATTTCTGAGTAAGGAACTGTCCTGTGTTGTAACTGACCAGCCAATAGCATCTGTGCGCTCCACATCTCAAAAGGAAACCACGAGCTTTGCTCTTTCAGGACTTAGAGGAGTAAGTATACATATCTCGCATTGCTCTATATAAGGTGCTTCAAAACACCTTCGCAACACTAGAATCAGACTTATCACAGCGCTAATATCTAGAGTGCGACATCAGGACGTAAAGCAAAATTTAGGACTGGATGACACAGACCGGAAATTCGAGTTGAGGTTGTGTTAGCTTTTAATTTGTGGGCGTAGAGAGCACCTTCGCTCTGATTGGTTGAGCACGTCCACGAGTCGTTATGAGTCATAATAATAGTAAGCGAGCTTAGCCAACGAAAGGCAGATTCAAGTCAAGTTCTATCAAAACCTATACTCACAGAGCGTCTTCTTTTTTTCAGCAAACCCGTGCCCAAGCCATACTCCAAAAGTCTGTAAAGCAGCAGAAACAAGCAGCTAAAAGTACTGATGTCCTGACCAATGCAGACAAATGGGGGATTCAAGTCAAACCGGTTGAGCAGGTGTTAAAATGGATTGATGCCCAGAAGAAACGTGAAGCTTCCGCCCAGCCGACTGGCCGCGTGTGCAGTCTAAGAGGAGCTTTCCTTAAAGTGGAGGATCACAGCCGGTAAGAACCTAACACACTGTGCTTATTAAAATAGCTACTTAGTTAAGTCTCAGGGCTGGATTCAAATTTGTCCACACTTTCTCTCTTACATCTTCTCTATTTCATTTTTTCTATTTCTATTTCTCTACTTCTCTATTTCAAGATGTGTCCCCTGAGATGACCGGGTCCTCGATTCTTGTGATCAATCGACTTATTGCGAATTTAATGATGTAAAGTAAGAAAGAGTAAGGAATATAATGACTCACTTTTAGAATGGAGCCGGAACCGGCTGCTATTCGTCGCAGGGAAGGAAGCGATGAAGGCTTCCTCTGAGAACGGCTCTTACTTCGATTAGTATTAAGCCTATTCTTTTATTCATCAGGGAATAGAAGTAATTTGTATTTTTGGCGGCAGTTTTGACTAAAATGGTAGCTCAAAGACACTTGTCATTTTTATCTCTCAACAGGCAATACAAGCCGCTTGTCAAAGAACTGAATGTCTGGCCTCGCCTCAATTTAGATGCTCCACCCGGCTTCTCGCCATTTGACGAACCTGTCAGCATGCGCACTAGATCACGAAGTTCATCGAAGAGTCCAGCACGTGGAGACAGCAAGAGTAAGACCAAACAACAACAAACAACAGGAAGTGATGCTGACAAGAAAGGCTACTGTGAGCTGTGTGATGCGCCTTACACGGGAATGAAGAAACATGTCGCCAGTAAAGAACACAAGATGGTTGCTTCGCAGAAAGGGACCTACGCAGAACTGGACAGGCTTATCGGCAGAGGAAAGACTCTGAAAGAGTTTGAAGACGAAGTGAAGAGGAAAAGAGCTTCTAAAGCTTCCGAGACAACGCGTGTAACAAGGTAAGCAACGTAACCCGTAGAAAAAGAAATTGGTACTGAGGAAGAACAGTTGAACGGTAGTAAGCCAGTTAATGTACATAATGTACTAGCAGTGTACTGCAAAACGGCTTATCGCCAGTGAACCAACTTGGAAGTAGAATGAGAAACTTAAAAAAAATCTTAACGTGCTTTAGATAGGTTACCTGCTGTCAGTGGGCAGCTAATAGCCGGGGCGTCCGTTGAGAAAATATTCAGACTTCTTACAATGTAGTATTAACAAACTGTCTTTTTATGGTTACAGATCACGAACCAGAAGTCGATCTCCAGTGGCTGTTAAATCAACTCCTCAAAAGAGCTTGAAGGCACCGACAACGCCGCGAAGAAAAACTCCGAGCCGACAGTCGCAGACTCCATCTCCCGCCCGTAGAGCCCCGAGTTCCGGTCGGAAGGCTCCACAGACAGTAACACCAATCAAACTAGTCCGATTCCAAGATCAATACTCTGTAGCTAAATCGACGTCCAAGAAACGCCGCCGGAATGACACGGACAACATCAGCCCAGGCAAATCAGCGAAACGAAAAAAGACGGATCGATATACGATCGTGGAGTCGACACCGATGAGGATCAGACTTCGCCGCAGCAGGAGGAAAGGTTCGTCGACAGCGAGAGGTTCCATGTTCGTTAACCCGAGCACTCGCTCGCCATAGAATTTGACCAAAGACAACTGCTCATAACACAAGCAGCAGTCTAAAAATTTGAAACATCATTAAGTTTTCAGTTAGATGGTGGACGCCTTAGAATGAGATATTTAAAACATATACTGAACAACAAAGAGAGCATCAAATCACAACCCGATAGATAATACGAAAGGGATAATTTGAAAAAAAACTGAACCAAATCTGGTCTGGAACAATCATATAGAGAACCTGTGAAGCAGGTTTTTTAGCAGGAGGTTTCAGTGATTAGTGTTCTAAAGTAACCACTCGATTGTTTAGAAGCTCGAAACTTAGCTGGTATAATGCTGTATAGTTTATAAAGTGCAAAAACAATGTATTATAAGAGTAAATGGATACTGCACATTGTACATAAATAACCACTTGGGTTTATTATTGTCTTTAATTCAATAAACGTCTCTTTAAAAAAAAATTGCCTTCAGGAGGTATAATTTGTGAACGCAAATATGTTAAAAATACTTTAAATGATTAAACAGGCTTACAATCGAAGACGAAAGTGTGCGTGAAAAAGTCAACACACAAGGCGTATTTTCCCCTTTTAGATTTCCCTTTCTCCTGTGCAAAAATTAGAAAAAACAAATTAAGCAGTTTTTTTTTTTTTACTAGTTTTCCACTCCAATTGTTACGTTCAGAGAAACAGGAGAAGCCCTGAATCACCAGGTCGATCGCCTCGTGGCCGTTTTCAATTGTCTAAAACCAATATTATTACAACGGCCAATCACAACAAACGTAAACAACCCAATAAACCAACTAGACTTCAAATCCTGCCCCATTTTGCAGTCACCGAACTTCGCGCTAACCCCCAACTAGCTGAACGCCCGAAACAGACTAAGAATAAAAAACATCTCCAAGCAAGTACACGTAATCACTCTTAAGCGAAGAAAGAAAATCCCCATCACCACACATTGGTTATTGTATAGCAACATTGAAGTTGGGATTATTTCGATAAATGTTGAATTTCTCCTTGATCAGTATCTGTATTCTCACAACTTGTCGGCAAGACTTGGTATTGCGGATATTTTGAGGAGAAAACTCAAGTTGGTTATCATCATCATTGAATATCTTTATCACTGTGTCACCCTCTACCTTATGTTCACCCGTTTGCAAGAATAACCTCCACATTAGATCCACAAGTTATTAGATTAACAAGATTACACATTTTTTTTTGTCTGGAAGCGAACGTTTGGGAGACCACCTCTGTGCAGATTGAGACATATACAGTATACAGAAAGTTGATCTGGTGAGAGTTTTGAAACAGCCCAGACTTTTGAGCTATTAAAACGCGCAAACAAACTCAGTAATTTGGTAATCTCATAATGGTGTTAGCCGTCAGCGCGTTTTTCGGTGAAACTTCAGAATCAAGTAAGAGAAGCTCTACAATTAAACACTGCTTAAAATAGTTCAACGTGGACATACAATGGTTCATGTGGAAAGCATATATGGGACGCTCCTCGTTATGGACTCCTGACTGTACGTGGCCTTTCTTTCTTATTTACTCGCGTCAGTTACCGGTGCAAGTCCATTTGCCTCTCCGTTGAAGCAGAGCTGTCGTGGTGTCCTCGTCATAGCCGGACCTTCTGCTTGACAATGTGTCTGTTCAGTCAGAGGAAAACGACTCTCGAAGCCATTTAACTTCCCTTGCGCAATGTTTCTCTGAATCAGAATGTACTTGAGGCAGGCAGGGTTTCTTTGTTGATTGTCCCGTGGGAAAACCACATTCTTAATTCCTGCTTTCAAAATAAGCGGGACACACTCATCACACGGGGTTTTGCTCACAAACATGGTGCTTGAGTCTTCGCTTATGTCCCGTGTGTTCTTGCCTAAAATCACCGCTTGTTCGGCATGGATCGAGAAAGCGTACTTTTTTGTCAGCGAGGGACCATCAATGTGGGAAGCTCTCGGAAAATCCCCGTAGTTAGCTTTCGGAGGGTAGCCATTCCAACCCGCAGATACTATTTGATTCCGCTGCAAGATTACCGCCCCGACTCCTCTTTTCGGATCGTTCGAACGTTGCGCCAAAATGTTCGCCATTCTCGACATATGCCGAGCCAGTTCCTGCCAAAGTGGGTTACTAGCGTCGGGAATGATCGGTGTATCCTCGTGGTTCGGGACAGTGTCTCGAGTGCATCCCGAACTTGCTTCATTACCGTTCGGGTTTCTTCCTTCACATTCGTAAAAGTTAACAGAATCTGGTAAGTCTCCAAATGTGACTCTTGCAATCCATTCTAGCATAATGTGAATGGAGTGATCTACTTGTTGTTTGCATTCGTTGAATTCTGGCCACTTTAGCTTTAGGGTAATGCTTCTTTTCCATTGTTCACTCCAGTAACGATTCAGCAGGGTGAAAAGAACACTTCTGTGAGATAACTTGTGAGGGGCGTATGGTGAGCGTTTTACTTCACTTTCCACTAAAACTGTCTTTTGAATGTTTGGAACATAAATGGACTGCCCTATCTCGCTCATCCGGTACAGCTTTTCAACTTTATCGAGGTCGTGTTCGTCAGGGTTTTCAGGCTCAAATGGTAAATAGCACACTCTAGAAATCCCGGCTTGTACCATCAGCTTCGTACAAAGAGAGCAGGGTTTCCGTGAAGTGTAAATAACGCAATTTGCCGCGAGGTCACTGAAGTCTACCAAAACACTTGTCACGCCATGAACAACGTCACGCGAACAATCAATTGCGACGATATTCTCCCGGGAATCAACCATTACCACACCAATCTTGTTCAACCTTGAGATAGAGCCTTTCGATGGCTTTTTCTCCTCATCTAGTCTACTATTTGATTCTATACAATTAGTAAGAGGCTCCTTAAAGTGGCCGACATTAATCACACCCGTCGTGTTGTCCATATGATTCGAAACTGCATTGCTTTCGTGAACCTGTAGCGGCGTACCTAATTCTTTGTCCTTTTCACTGTCCTTTTGCTCGATGATACAGTTGTTTATCTTAAACTTCTTTCTCAAAGGACCGCTTTCTTGAAGGACATCACAGAGCACATCTTCGTTGTCGACTCGATCACGATAATCATCTTGATCTTCACCGGTAGCCGACAGGCTTTCGAAATCGCCGCACACCGATATCGTGGCGAGTGGACTCTCTTCCATCCACAGAGACAAGCACGAAAACAGATCGGTTTTCGAGATGGTGTTAACAAAATCCGTGAACCTTCGCGTGCTTGCTTGATTCATTTTAAACAGGCGGTTATGTACCAAAGCCGGTCAATAAGTAATCTTTCATTGTCTTCATCCCACCGGCAAGATGTGAATTGTTCACTTCTTGATATTACGGGTATTATGAACCGTTCGCACAACAACTTAAAGTGATTGATTCGATTCGTTACAAACTTGATATAAACACAAAATACACGTGATCCTAAAGAGTTTAGTTACTTGCTCTCCGAACGGCTCCGAACGCCGAGACAATGATCAAAGAGTAAACAAAGAACGTGTGCGTTGTCCTATGCACTTGTCCACGTCCACCGTCTGTGACGTCACATGTTTACGTGTAACGCCATGTTTTTAAGAGCACTGTCCGTCTTATCAGTCTTATCAGTCTTATCAGTCGCTAATATCGATATCAGCGTCTGATTGTACGCGGTATGGTAAGGAAAAGTATCGTATGCAGCCGTGTCGGACACGAAAAGCCGAGGAAATTGGAAGCATGGTCCCTAAAGTCCCGAGACTGAAGTCTAAAGTTCGAAGTCCCTCCTCGGCAACCCCAGTGGGGCATCACAAATGCGGCTTGTGCATGGACAAAAGTTGTTATTC